TAAATACAAAAATTACATACAAGTTTTGGTCTACAATGAACAAATCACCCACAATGAAGCATTATTTAAAATTTTCCAAATATATATAACAAAATGAAAAATTTATAATTTAATAATTGTATATTTTATATACAATTTATATATGTGTGTGTGTTTCTTTATCTTTATAAATTTAAATAAAATAATTTGAAATGCATCTATTTAGAAATTGTTGGTCTACTATCTACAAATCACCCATTTTTCAAAATATATATCAAAATGACAAATTAATAATTATATGCATACATAACAACTTTAAAGATGATTTTCTCAATATTTAGATTTTTTTGCACCCTCAGATTCCAGATTTTCAAATAGTTGTATCTCGGCCAAATATTGTCCTATCCTAACAAACCATACATCAATGGAAAGCTTATTTATTCAGCTTTCAGCTGATGCATGCATCTCAATTTTGAAAAATTGACCCTTATGACTGGTTTTGTGGTCCAGGGTCACAAATGTTGAGTGAACATTCTGAAGCGAGTACCGCGTCTCTGTAGGTTCCGCTGGAAAGCAGAGCAGCCTGAAGCGTCCTGAAGTCTCGGGCAGCAGCAGATCTGTTCACCGGCTCTGTGTGAGGACGACAAACACACAGACTCAGCATCACTGACACGCAGCTTCACAGACTGGAGTCGTATCTCATCAGAGCTCAGCTGCGAACACACCAGGCTCGACCTCCGGCTCCGGCCACGTCTTCTTGATGATATGAAGCGTTGATCCAGACTTGATCCCGTAGGAGTCTAACGTCAGATCATCCTTCAGCACACAGCCGCAGTGCACAAAGTCTGAAAGCAGAAAACAGCAGCGTCAAACACAGCTTCTGAACGGACGCCAGTGATGCTCCTGAAGCAAGCCCACCTATGAGCTCAGGGTCGGGCAGTGCGTCCGAGAGCTGTGCTGAGATCAGCTGCTTGAGCGTCGACACCTGATAGCCTCCTGGACGCACGTCTCCGGGTTCAGTGTCTGGAAACTGAAACACTTCCTTGGGTTTGTCGCTGAGTTTCAGGGAGAGATGCCATGCTGAGCTCTCCATATCCTACACCAGAGAGAGAACGTTTGGGATCAGTAAGACTTTAATCGTTTTTAAAGAAGTCTCTTCTGCTCACCGAGGCTGCATTTATTTGATCAAAAATACAGTAAAAACAGTAAAAATGTGATAATTTTTTTCAGCATTCTTTGATGAATAAAAAGTTTAAAAGCGTTTATTCAAAATATAATTTTTTTCTAACAATATACACTACCATTCAAAGAGAAATTAATATTTTTAGTCAGCAAGGATGTGCAAAATTGATAAAAAGTGACAGTAAAGACTTATATTGTTAGAACATATTTCTATTTGATTTCTATTCTATTTGATAATAATCAGAAATGTTTCTTGAGCAGCAAATCAGCATATTAGAATGATTTCTGAAGATCATGTGA